CTGTGTCTAAACTGAAAAGGAGGAAGGCCGGGTTTCACACGTGGGTTAGCACAGGCTGTGCTATGGGTACTGCGTGTGGAGGAGGAGCTGGCAGCAGAGAAGGCTTGCCAGTGTCAGCTGCTCAGGAAACAGAGTTGCACAGCAAGAGTACAGTACAGTCCATGCTAGATACACACTCACATACGCTCACAATCTCTGCACCGCTCCCGGGAAAAACAGGGATCTGTATCTACAATACATCCCTGTCTCTTATTCCTTATTTCCATCTATATCCAGAACCACATGTCTATCCATGTTTTTAAATATTCCATAATTTAAAAAAGATTTATTTATTTATTTTATGTGTATGGAGTGCTTGTATAAATTATGTGTGTCCCAGGGCCAGTCTCAGTTTTCCTTGACACAAGTTTCTCAAGATGACTCTGCTGCTGGCAGGTTCCTGAGGTGTCTGTGAGGTGCTCTCAACACCTCCACACGATCCCCTCTCGCTCCTACATGTGGCTCCTGCCCTGTTTCTTCACAGCCCACAGAAGGGTGCTGTCACAGCTTTGGGGACTGTTCATTCCCATGGGGACTCCTCATTGCTTAAGTGCTTAATGCAGTACACGGCACCTAGGAAAATGAGGGCATGGGAGCCACGCGGAAAGACTCACAGAGAAGCCAGGATGGGCGGAGGCAAAGAATGTTGGGGAAACTGAGGCAGTGCCTGGTGTCTTCTCTGCCCTGTGTCTGCCTGCTGACTGAAGGCCTGCATTCCCAGGACTCCTGGTTACTTCTTCCTCTATTTTCAAGGGCATTAAGATTTCTTAAAATCGTATGTGTGTGTGCATGAATACCATAGTGTACATGTGGAGGTCCAGAAGACAATTTTTGTGAGTCGGTTCTGGATCAAACTAAGGTCTTTAGGCTTCATTGTAAGCATCTTTACCCATAGAGCGCATCTCACAGCCCCACCTCAAGGCATTTAAAAAGTCCCCTTTATACCCTGCATAATGCAAGTGTCTTATTTCACTTTATAATTTTAAAGTATTACTCTTTTTATTTTTTTTTTTGTCTCTGTATATGCATGCCACATGTGTGGGGATGCCTATGGAGGCCAGAAGAGGGTGACAGAGTCCCCTGGAACTGCAGTCACAGGTAGTTGTGAGCCGCCCGACTGGTGTGCTTGGAACCAAACTCCTGGTCCTCTGGAAGAGCAGCAAGCACTCTTACTCACTAGCCATTTCTCCAGCCCCCCATTTCACTTTTTCTTGATGGAGGATGTCACCAATGTCTAATGCTAAAACATTAGCCTCCATCCTCAGAAAAGAATCAGCACAAATGAAGAAATCTACCTCAAAATTCCATGTAAATAGGAACTTTGGTTCTAATATTTAAATGAACTTACTTATTCAGCAAATGTGTCCTGAACTGAAATAGCACACCACTGCCTGTTGCAGAATGGTAGCATAGATGTGTGTGTGTGTGTGTGTGTGTGTGTGTGTGTGTGTGTGTGTGTGTGTGTGCATCCCTGCCTCAACCATTCCACATTGCAGTGGGGGGCAGAAACTGGAACAAGTCGATAAAGAAAAGCCGACTCTCCAGATCCCCTGGCTCTGAAGGGGAGATCAAGTGACCTTGAGCTCTCAAAAAGGGCTGGGCATAGACGATCCTAGTGATGGACTTTGGGGGCTTGCTACAGTGATCCGTCCAGTAGAAGGTTTGAGTGGCTGAGTGTTTAGGCTGCCATAGAAGCTGTCCTTTTCCTCCATGAGGAGGGAAGCTGCAGACGCTCTGAGCAGGGGCCTCGTGACCCGAGGTGGCTCAAATGTCACTCTAGCTACTGTTTGCAGATGCAGTAGGTAGGGAAGCAGGAGAGTGACAGGCCATGGGGGCGATGCTGCTAGGCAGAAGGAAGGGTGTGAAGGAGGAGCAGATTCCTGCTGCAGTCAAGGGCAGTCAGGTCGCTGTTCAAGGTGAAGATGGAGTAACCCAGACCAGGATGGGAGAGCTGTAGGGCCTGGGTGTAGGAAGGGGACCAGGCATTCCAGCTTACAAAAGACTGTCCAGTTTCAGATGCCATTTAGAAATGGTTGGCGACCTCATCCAGCCCTCCTGCAGAGGCCAATGAGATTGTGCAAAATCATGAGGAGCGTCCCTTCCTGTGTTGACTGCTTTTGACTGACTGGGCAACTTTCAGTCCTGTTGGTATAGGAGAATCTTCTGGACTCTGCCTGCTGGACCAGCAGGAACCCAATAAGTTCAATGCTATATGTCTGCCCAGTGTTCTCTAGATATTTAGTTTCTCAAATGGCACCTGGACCCATTTGAATACTTCCTTGCATCCTTTGTTAACTCTGGAGGTAAATTAAACATTCAGCTCGAGCCCCTGTCTCACCTGGGAACCATAATTTGACCACTTAATTGATAATGCCCAGAGGTGATGCTAGACAGCCAGTTAGCTACATGAACATGAACTTCTTTGACTTTTGAGGGGAGAGATGTGGCCTGCAGGGAATACTTACAGCCAGGGGATTGATGACTGCATGGGTGAGGGCTGTGCTCCCTGCATCACTTCCTAGAGTTTCCAGAGCTACCCATAAGACTGCACACATCTGTGATGGGCACCTCCCTCCATTTGACAGAGGAGGGAACAAGCAAGAGAGGCTGGAAATGGCCGAGGCCGGGGGACTGAATCCACTCAGTTGGCAGGGAACCTCATTTCATACCAGGGCTTCTCTGGTTGGAGCTTTGCTGATGCCAGGAGACCTCCTCCATTCATGGCTAGGGGTAGGGAGAGAGGGATCAGGGTGGACTCAGGACTCCGGGATGCATAGGGCAGCCCCACAACAAGACTCATCAGGCCCAAGATTTTGTTTGTGTCAAGGCTGAGAAATTCTGGTCTAGCCTGTGACATGGTTATCTCCAGACAAATGGCCTCTTCCATACAACTTCATGATTCTTCTCAGGTCCACAGTTGTTTACATGTTTATAAGGCTTTGCCTGATGTCTGTTTCACCCTCTACACTGTAGGCTTCATGCTCACTCACTACTAAATTCTTAGTTCTGGGCGGAATGACAGGCAAATACTGTGTGCTCACACTGAGACTGCATTCTGATACATCTGTGTGCCTCTAGCAGGGCTAGACAGATGGCTCAGAGGCTAAGAGTGCTTGCTGATCTTGGAGAGGACCTCAGTTTGGTTCCCGGCACCCACATGGTGGCTCACAACCATCTGTGACTCCCATCCCAGGGGCTCTGGCCCCATCTTCTGGCTTCTGTAGGTACTGCATGCATGTGGTGCACATATGTCTATGCAGGCAAAAACACTCACATGCATGAAATAAAAACAAATAAATTAAAAAAAATCTCAACGAAGTGTGACAGAGAATCAGTAGGTGGAGTGGCATCTGTGTTACAAATTTGTGTTACTCACGAAGCGTGTTATTGCATTTAGCTTAAGAAATTAGAGCAAGCAGAAGACCTGAAAGCCAGCCTTCAAACTTCAAGTCCTGACTGCAGCTAATTTTTCATTGTCCTTGAAGCTAATCAAGCCTGTGGAAACAGCATCACCAAATTGACTAAACGAGACTCCCAATTAACTCAAACAGATGGCTGAAATTTTCCAGGTGACTTTCCATATTAATTCAGCATGTTGGCTGGACCAGGCCCCTGGAGGCTTGGCAGGGATTGGCTGAGAAGGAAATGATGACATAGAGGAATCTTCTTCAGGAGAGATGAGGAGACAACAACCTGAGCTGTTTTATCTCAGCCAAAAAAACCCATCATCAGCCAAATTGACTGGTCTTCCTCAACCAGTGCACATGGAGCGGGGACTGCCCAGTGATGGGCCACCAGAGACCTGCCTGCCCTAGGAAGCTGTGTGGGCTCAGGTTTATGAGAACTCAGCCAGGGTTACCTAATGCTGTCTGGCAAGGGCTCAGACCCCAAGTGCCCAAGGCCCCTGCACAATTCTACTGGGTTCCACCATCTTCCCTTCTGGCTCTGTCTACTGATGTCGAATGAGTGCTCTTGCTGGGTTCTCCATGGGAGTGAAGAAAACTATACATTAGGGGAAAGAGGGGTGCTATGTCAGGAAGAGGAGAATGGAGGGTGAGCATGTGGTGGAGAACCCTCCCCTGGGGAGTGAGAGCCAAGCACTTGCCCTTCCAGAAACTGGCAGGAACTTCTAATAATGTGGAGATTTGCAAGTGACTGAAACATGAAGGCCCAGGCTAACTATATGGCAAACTTTGGCTTGGGTCTCCAGACTGGGTGTTCTCAGCTCAAACAGCTCCATTTATAGACATGCTGAGCCTTAGATGTGCGGGGCCTGGGATACTGTACTCCCTCTCTCTCACCGTTCTCACCAGAGAGGTACAATGACTATGGAACTGGACTCTCGATGGTGTCAGTTCCCAGACTGCTTGACTCTAAGGGCGAAGTTGATATTCAAATCATGTCACTTAGATGGATTCCCATTTTTCTGCTTTAACTAGAAAATCTGTAGATGTTGGTAGAGATTGGCCAACACGATTTTCCACAGGCCCTTTGAAGCACATGGCTGCTACCCACTGGGAGGTCTGACCTTCTTAGAGAAGGACTCATCAGGCAGTTATAGGAGCTGGTCAGCTAGAGGTCCTCTAAAATCCTGAAAATGGGATGTTGCTCACTGAAATCTGGTTCCAGGATTTTCTTGTACTTGGTCATCTAGAGGATGTCATCTGTCTGCTGTGCAAATGACCCTGCTGAGACAGGGGCTGACCTGACATGCTTTTCCAGAGGACCCTCCCTCCCACGGGGCAGGTTATCTGCCCTGATATAAGGTAAGGAATAAAGGTATATGTTTCCTGGTGCTCCCCCTTTATTTTCCCTAGGAAAGCAAACCACACATCAGCAAGGAAGGCTGGAAGCACAAAGTCTTGGAAGCTAGCCAGTGCTACAAGAGAGCCCATTCTAGAGATGCTACAGCAATTGCTCCCCTTTGATTTGTTCCTAATCCAGTGGTGCAAGAAACCAACCTCATGCGAGGGTCATCAGGTGGTATCATCTCCAGGTCGTGGGTTGGTCCGCTCAAGCCGATGACGTGGAGGGAGATGCTGGGGTTTTCACTGCCAGCCTGCAAAGCGAAGGGACAGAGCTGTGAGGGAGCAGTGTGAGTGAGTGGCCATAAGGCCTGGAGCCCCCCCTTGGCTTTGCAACATCTCATCTGGAAGACTCATATCTGGGCACTGTGGAGCTTCATGCTAAAGACCGTAACTTACGTTGAGGACAGATCAATGTGTGTGTGTGTGTGTGTGTGTGTGTGTGTGTGTGTGTGTGTGTCCACATATGTGCATGTTTGCAATGTTTGGAGGTCAGAGGACAACACTGGGTGTTAAGCATCCTTAGTTGCCATCCACTTTCTTTTCTTATGACAGCATCTCTCACGGGTCTGGAGCCCACCAAAGCTGGCTTATGGGTAAGCCTTGGGGATTTTGTCTTTGCCTCCTCAGTGCTAGGGTTACAGCTATATCCCACCACACCCAGATTTTTATGAGGGGATCAAACTCTAGGCCTAATGCTTACATGACAAGTATTTTACCAACTGAGCTCTCTCGTAGGCCTAATATACAGAACTTTTAGGGGACAAAGAGATATCTGGGTCAGCGCTGCTTCCCAGAACTTGTCGTCTCCCCATTCCTCCCAGTTCACTCAGTCTGCCAATGTCAGGGGGTGCTTGGTCAGCCATGAGAGGAAAGAAAACTATGCAGGAGGGCAGAGAGAGGGGCGGGGTCATGGACACGAGAGCGGGACGTGTATAGGTGGTATGGAACACTGATCTGAGGGTCACAGCTCACAGGAGTGTCTTCTTCAGTAAGGAGCCACAGTCCTGATCAGTTTCAGGCATCCTCTCTCTCTGGAGAACAAATTCTGGACTGAGAGGGGCTGGGAGAGACGTGGCTTATCAGGGCTGCTCTGGCCTGATGGCCTCATCCTCTATGTACATTTAGGCTAGAGGGAATCTGTCCCACAGCAAGGAACAAGCGGGCAGCTGTACAATTCAGAGCTCTGACTGGGAGTAGGAAAGAACAGGGCAGTAACCCCAGAACTCTGTCAGTCAGTCTGTGGAATTTCTATTAAAACATGGGACCCCAAGTCCTGAACAAGATTTCACTTTCTAACTCCTGGTTGAGAGCACATGTCCCATAGCACACTGCCAAATCAAGGAACCTATTAGATTTTTAGGTTGTCACTTATAATGACACCTGTAAGGATATATGTATGTGTATGTATATATGTGTGCACATGTATGTATGAGTGGTGTGTATGTGTATGGCTGGGGTGTGTGTGTGTGTGTATATTAGGGGATGTAGAGGGACTAGGGAGATTTGGACTTAGTCTCATGCACTATCTTTAACTGAGTCCAGCTAACCTGCACTTTGCATTATAATGGAGACTGGTGGGGAAAAGAGCAGAGATACCCAGTCAATGGCAACTCTACGCTAGGCTGTCCTAGGAGAGGAAAGGAGACAAGGCTGTGTCTGCAGCGACTCATGTTCCTCCACTTTGGGACCCCAACAGGCACTGACCACACTCCCCAAAGGCTACTTACTGGTGGGAGTCTGTACCACCAGATGGACTGAATGAGTCACCCCAAATTCCTGTGCTGGAGTTCTTGCCCTAGGTGGGTGGTATTTGGAAGTGCGCTCTTAGAGTGGTGATTAGGGTTGGATGAGGTCATGTGGGTGGGGCCCTATGATGGCATTAGGTCATTAAGATACCAGAGCTCTCATCATCTGCCTTGTGAAGAAATAATGGGGGTATGGCTCAACTGGTAGAGTGCTTGCCTAGCACACACAGAGCATTGCGCTCAATCTCCAGCACTGTGTAAACTAGGCATGGTGATGCATGCCTGTAATCCCAGCACTTGAGAGGTAGAGGATCAAAAGTTTAAGGTCATCCTCAGCTACACAGAGAGTTCCAGATGAGCCTGGGACAGTTGAGACTCTGTTTTAAAAAATGATACTCAAGAGAAGACATTAGTCTGCCAACAAGAAAGAGAGTCCTTACCAGGACCTGGATCACCAGCACCCCAATTTCAGACATCCAGCCTCTGTGAGGACACTACTGTGGTCAAAGTTGCCTAAGTCGGTGATATTCTGTTTGGCAGCTGGAACAGACAAGCTCACTCGGTGATTGCTTCCTCTGGCTCATGTTTTTGGGAACCATGTGGAGCCCATATACTTCATTCTCATCATGGGTCCTTCACAGGCCCAGGGACTTCTCACAGTATGGGGGCATGAACTGCTAGCTTTTAGATGAACCAGGTGGGTGAGGAGGCCTCAGCTCACACATTCCCTGGCAGAGGCAGGATGGTGCCTCAGAGGCAGGAGTGGGGCCCAGCAACAAGAGTGCCATCCTACTTGTCCACTGGCCTTAAAGCAGTCTGGTGATGCCATTGAGAAGTAGGTTAGACAGCTGTGTGCACCTCAGGAGCTGGAGCTGTATCCACGTTCCTGGATGAGAGCCTCCAGGTGAGGGGGTCATGGAAGTTTCTGCATCAGGACCTGCCCTGTGCATGGATGCTGTGATGTGATGCAGAGTTGAGGTGTGGAGGCTCCTCCCACGTCACTGCACCCTCCCTGGCTGTTCCACTGGCTCAGGTCTGTCTTTGCCTACTTTGGTCTCTATAACAAAATATCCAAGACCAGGGGACTTATAAACAATAGGGATGTAAGCCTCACAGCTCTGGAGCTGGGAGTCCAAGATCAAGGTTCTTGTTGATTTCCTGTCTGGTGAGGGCCAGGGCCTCAGAGATGGAGCCTGTTCACTGCCTCCTCACATTGGCTGGGATGGAAGAGAGAGTTCTCTGGGATCTCCTTCATATGACACTAACCTCAATCACAGGGGCTCCTCACCCATGGTCTGATCACTTCTCAAGAACCCCACCATCTTGGGGTCTCAACATACGGATATTGGGGAACACAAGCTCTCAGACCCAGCAGTGCTTTGGACAACAAGCCTCTCTATAGCCTGGGAACCTGGACAGAGAGAAGTCCTTCTAACCTACCAGAATGTGCATCTATAAGGAGGCAGAAGTGCAGGCTTTTTGTCACCTGGAGTCACTGAGTGGGGGCGACGTATTTATTTTGCTTCTAAGGAACTCAGACAAATAATCAATGGTCATCCAATTATTTAAAATAAAGTAAACCTGCCAACAAATTCAACTCCACAATGACGGGACTTGAATGCCACATTAGTGTTTCCTGTGCTGCTGGCAAAGACACTGATTATAGGACCTCCACATTTGGAACAAGTGGTCGAACGAGCGCGTGAATGACTCGGGCTTGACTGGGCCTGCTCTTTGCCTACCTTAGGATAGTGATAGGGCTTCACGGTGGGGTAGACAGAGCCTGTGTAGGTTGGCAGTTCCATAAGAGGAACCCGAGAGTCGTTGATGGTGGCGTAGGCGAGCCTCGTGCCATCCGGTGACCACCAATGAGCGATGTGGCTCTTCAGAATCTCCTCTGTGGGAAAACAAAGCAGAGAATGAATGGTGAGCAGAAGATGATGCTGGGGAGATGGGGCCGCAGGGGGCTGCAAGGGGGCTGCGGGGGGCCACAGGGGGCTGCAGGGGGCTGCGGGGGGCCACAGGGGGCTTCAGGGGGCTGTGGAAGGTTTCAGGGGACTGCAGGGGGCTGCAGGAGGCTGCAGGGGGCTACAAGGGGGCCACAGGGGGCTTCAGGGGGCTGCAGGGGGCTACAAGGGGGCCACAGGGGGCTTCAGGGGGCCACAGGGAGGATGCAGGGCTTCAGGGGGCCACAAGGGGGCTGCAGGGGCTGGAGGGGGCTAGAGGGGGCTGCTGGGGGCTTCAGGGGGCTGCATGACCCTGGAAGCTGGCCAGGGACAAGCGACACCTTGGGCCTGTGGGTCTGCTTTCACCTCTATGCTTTCATTCAGCTCAGCTCCCCTCACCAGGCTCAGAAGTGTCTGATACCCACGGTGAAGTCTGACACGGTAAACTAGAGCTCAGCCAAACACAGGCTGATTTCATGAAATTGGCTTGTATGTAAATTTGATTCCTCGGCCTAAGGAGTACTTCTTTTTTTTTTTTTTTTTTCCTTAACTGGATAATCATTGGATTTTAATTATCTCATTCAATTTTCTACCTTTTCTTCTGCTAATGAGTGCTTTTGAGTTGGACTGTTATACAGCGGTAGGGGTGTGTATGTGTGTGTGTGTGTGTGTGTGTGTGTGTGTGTGTGTGTGTTTCAGGTGCATGTGTGCATATGCTGTGTGGTCTGTGTGGACACCAGAGGAGGACCTCACATGTTCTTTAGATGATGTTCACCTTGTTCTTTGAGACAGGGTCTCTCATTGGCCTGGAGGTCACCAAGTAGGCCAGACTAGGCACATGTTACTATGATTGGCTTTTTGTTTTGTTTTACTTTTTTTTTTTTTGAGACAGGTCTCATTATCCAACCCTGGCTGGCCTGAACTCACTATGTAGACCAGGCTGGCCTCCAGCTCACAAACACTCACCTGCCTCTTCCCTGAATGCTGGGTTCAAAGGTGTGCACCACCATGCCCAGATTTTTTTTTTTTCTATATGGATTCTGAGGATTGAACTCAGGTCCCTTTTACTGACTGCCCCATCCCCCTAGCCAGGCAGACTGTCATATCAATATGACTTTACAAAGGACACCAGAGGAAAACCAGTTCACACTGTGGCACGTTCACGAAGACAGGCCATGGGGCAGAAGGAGCTATGGGGAGGCTCAGCCGAAGACAAGAGGTGACTCTCCATGGCAGGTGGGGACCCGTGTAGCCGTATGTACTCCCCTACCACAGAGGAAGAAGGAGGAGGCTGTGTCTTCAGACTACAGAGGTGCCGCAGCCTTAAACATCTCAGTTTCACTGTGTGACTACAAAGCAAAATGGACCCATCCTAGAAAGGACAGAAACGGAGATGGGAGTCCAGTCAGAAGTGTCCAATATCTCTTCTAACACACAGGCATTTCCACTCACCAGAGTCAGAGAGAGATGAACTTGGTAGGGTTAGGGAGAAAATCCTTTTTCTTTCAGTTGTTTTATTTCTGGGACAGGGCCTTGCCTACAGAGTTCAGATTGGTCTTAAACTAGTGACTCTCCTGCCTCCATCTCTCAAGTGCTGGGATGACAGGTGCATCCCACCTCACCCGGCCTCTACTCCGTTTTAAACACATCTAGAAAAGATACTGCCCAAATACTACAAGCCAGGAGCTGGGAATCAGCAACCCCCAGGGATCCTGGTACAGAAACAGACTCAAAGTATTAAGAAGTCCCTCTAGACTGTCTTTATAGTGATGAACCCCTGACACAGGAGGCCACTGTCATCCCAACCTGCTCTTTGTGTCTGGAGAGGTAGGAAGCTGAAGACACACAGAAGAGGAAATTTCCGTGTATACCTACCTAGCTGAGAGCAGAGGAAGCTGAAATAGTTGGGAGTTACAGGCAGAGGCACGAAGCGGGAAGACACACTGGGAGGACTGGGGCTGCGCCAGTCTCAGCGCCTGGGGATGGAGAGCAGCTTGTAAGGGTGAAGCTTACTGGGAGGTCTCAGAGCTCACCAGCGCTAGCCCGATTGCCACTCATGACATATTTCATAGCCCAGGCAGAGGACTCACAAGTCTCTCTGAGAGCTGGCTGCATCCCAGAGGGGCCTTTTGATGAAGTTTTTTTCTACCTTCTCCTCCCTGTTCTGATGACGGTGGCCTTAGGGTCATACTGAAGGAATTTATGAACCTCACCAAGGATCACTATCCTGTCCCACACTCCATGTCCCCCAGAGCACCTTCCCACAGGCTTGTGGAGCCTGTGCTGATTCCTTACCACATGTGGCATAGCTTGTCAGGGATTCCAGCCTACTCTGGAGTCACTGATGTGCATACCTGTGTCAAGGTGACTTTTCCCACCCAGGGCAGCCTAGGCTAGAGCACAGAGCCAGTCAGAGGGGGATTAAGGGTTCATGTCATAACCTGTCCGTCTATTTTTAAGTCCCCATCTGTGAAATGAAAGGGCTCAGTGCAGCCCCGACACCTGCTCCAGTTGTGTTGGCATCTCATGGTGTCCATCCGGCTCCATAGGGCATTTCTAGTGCTCGTGAGGACACAGAGGTGAGTGAGTGAGTGAGGAGGAGGAGGAGCAGGAGGAGGAAAGCACAAGCTAGGCTTCAGGGCTTGAAATTTTCTGGGTCTTCAGCAGCAGAGGGAGTGCTGACTTTGACATGCAAGATTGGAATGAGGAGATTCAAAAATGACTTTATGCAGCATCACCTGATCTGCAGGAGTACTCACAAGGCATGGTGAACAATGAGCCCCCATAGATGGTCTCTGGAAAACACAGCCACCTTCTAAACATAATGCACTGCAGGGCCAGAAGGGAAGGGACCACTTGGCAGTCACTGTGGCCTAGCAGGGCAGAGCTGGGGCAGAAGGAGGAGGACCAGGGTCTGGGGAGGCGGCAGAGGTGCCTCATAGCTGGCTTCTGTTTCAGACATCCATTAAGAGCCAGCCCAGGCAAGCCCAGTAGAAAGGTGGCTGGCCATTGCCAAAGAACACATTTAATTAGTAAAAATTATTTTTAAAAAATTGGCAATTCACCCTTTAACTCATTCACACTACTGAATGTGGGAATGCCTGTGTAAGAGTAAACACATTGTTCCTGAATAAAGAAAAGAGTATCTCTGGAGTTGTAACAGCTGGGCCAGAACCTGGAGTGCGCGGGTAAGAGTGACACATGTCAGGGGTGGGTGGGGATATGTTAGCTACTGCAAACTGCACCCCACGGTAAGATTGGGGCATTTAGAAAGATATTCTAGGGATGGAGAGATCACTCAATTGATAAAGTGTGAGGTAGGAGACCTGGGTCCTGTCTCCAGGACAAGTAAGTAAAATAAGTCTGGAATGGTGGCACATGCTTGCAATCCCCAGGCTGGGGCTGTGGAAACAGGCAGTTCTCTGGGGTTCACTGGCCAGCTGACCAGTTGAGCCTACTTACTGATGAGGGGTCTCATCTCAGAAAAAAAGGGGGTGAGACTTAAAAGATCAACACTAGGGGTTTCTCTCTGGCCTCCACCTGCACACAAACACACACATGCACACATGTGCACCTGCACACAAGGAACACACACACACACACACACACACACACACACACACACACACACACACACACACAGAGGTGGGGCTATCCTGCCACTCCAAAACGCAGAGCCCACAACACTAGGATTGCAGACTTTCCCACTCCCTCTACCCTCCCGTCCTTCGGCACACTGTTCTTTGGTGGGTTTTGTTTTTGTTTGCTTTTCGTGCTTCTGTGTGCTGGCTGCTCATGAAGGAAAGAATTAAGTGTAAGACACCAAGAGGGAACTATGGGGCAGACGGAACCCTGACAACAGAGCCTTTTCTGAATCTTCTGCAAACACTTTCTCCAACATCCCTCACCTAATGAGGCGTCTGTGTAACTTGGATGAGCCAGATGTACTTTGAAAACAGAGATCTGCAGATAGGGAAAGAATCCCCATTTCATCAAGAGGATTTATTCCGTGAACCCTTTGCTTGGAACAAAATGAACAGCTCACCTTTCTAAGCAAGTACAACAACTCAGGAAGCAGGAAGACCCGTTTTCCTCTCACCTCGCTCTGTTGGTGCACAATTTCAGTACACACACACACACACACACACACACACACACACACACACACATTTGAGGACACCAGCTCATCCATGATTTTCTCTGTAAGACTCAGGGGGAGGATATGTACAGCTCAGCTCACAGGAACATGGGCTGGTTTCTCTGTTGCTGACGAAGTCATTTGCAGTGTTGTTCATTTGTGCGGACTGCCTTAAGGGTGTGTCTAGTGGGACAAACCTCCAATTGACTCAAGGGATAAAGGTCAATGTCATACAGGTTGCTTGGAGGCCTCCATTTCATGCTACCACATTTGACAAGTGTGAAGCGGAGTGCAAACTGGTGAGATGCTGTGGGTGTGTGAGTGCTGTCTACCCGGATGAGGACTGTGACTCATGGTGACTTGGAGATGGGGAGTACTGTGTCCCCTTTCATGCAGAAGCTCCACAGCCAGCTTTGGTGAATAGTCTGGGCCTGAATGATGGCAGAGAAAGAAATCTTGACACTGTAATAAGTGTGAACCTGGGGCACACCAGGTTAAGTGTTATAAGCTGGACACAGGAAGGCAAACTAGAAACTGCATACAATCTCAATTGCATGTGGGATCTATAAAAGATAGAGTAATAGAAGCAGAGAGAAGGCAGTGACCAGCAGCAGTGTCCTGGTTGCTGTGTGTGTGTGTGTGTGTGTGTGTGTGTGTGTGTGTGTGTGTGTGTGTGTGTATTTGATATTAGCAAGAGTAATTTGAAAAGAGGAACGTCAATTGAGAAAATGCTTCCAATCAGATGGCCGGTAGGTACACCTGCAGTTCATTTTCCTGATTAATGAATTGTGTGGAAGGTCTAGCTCATTGTAG